GTGAAGCCTTTTCCTGTTTAGCCACTCGTCACAGTCGTCTTCCGACATCACGATAACTGATTTAGACCCATTACCACCACGCAAGATTTTCTGACCGGGGTTGCGAAACGCGGGGGAAAAAATGTCGCGATATTGGGGGGAGGGGGGGGGGGTTTGTACCGGCAATACGTTAATTTGGTGAAGCATTGAGGAGCGGTGGCGCAGTGGTTATTACAGCTCCCCTTATAACCCTGCCGCATGAGTTCCATTCTCACTTTACATCAGAGGCGTAAGGCACTACCACTTGAAGTACAGAGTACGAAAATCAATAACAATCCAATATTATTGTGTCATATCCCCGTAATATTTTCACGCCTTATTTTGATGACAAAATAAGGCGAGATGGACGTGGCTTGTTGTGTAAAAAAAAACTGTGGACTGTTCAACGAGCTGAATTCAACCACTCTCTAGAACCCATCGTGGCAATTCATAATTTAACAAATAAAATATGTGTCCACCTGACACATACAATTAATACAGGGACTCTTCTACTTACGAACGAGTTAGGTTCGTAAGTCGATTTGTTCGTGAGTCCAACTTTACTCCTGTCGATTCCAAACATGTTGAACTGCATGTACACTAAACACGGGGAATGGCTTTAAAAGTTGTATTATCTCCTGTAGATGTAAATTCCACTGGTTCTTAATGTTCTGCAGATGTAGATGCCACTGTTTCTTCATGTTCTGCAGATATAGATGCCACTGGTTCTTCACGTTCTGCAGATGTAGATGCCACCACCACCATTTATTGCACGGCGGTTGAACTTACGAATCTCCGTCCGAACAGGCAACTGGACATACGGACAGGTTTGTTCGTATCTCTGAAAGTACATAAGTCGATTGTTCGTAAGTATAGGAGTCCGTGTAAAGTTATCACGTAAACAAACGTGCCAGTGTATTCCTGCCGGAGAGCAAATCACGACGTTTCAAAATTGGGCGAGGACGTTTTAGCCGTTGGTTCCAACCGGCAACATCAGGCAAGTTCGCCAGAATTCTGAAAATCTCCTCCGGTCCCAGTGATGAGCTCGCGTCTGGGCTCCAATTCCAAATGGTTCACATGGTGGAGCCTAAACAGACTGAGGATCGGTTTCGGCAGATGCAACTCTGTCATGAAATCATGGAGGGGGTGGGGCGGCGGGGGGGGGTGCTTCTGCACAACCGACCAATGTGCTTGTCAGGAGAAGAAAACCGCATGGTTCACCTCCTGAGATGCTCCGCAGCACCACAATGCTACTCCTCAACAATTTGGCAGTGCCAACGCCAGAAGCGGTCGCCTGTGCAGAATTTTGGGGAAAGACCCGCGCAGTGGTTGGACGGGAGACGCGACAAAGAAGAAGGCCTTAAATAGGTGGTGGCGGTGATGTCATGGACTTATATGAATTGTAGACGATCTCAGGCGAGATTCCACACGTGCATCGTGAGCAGAAGAAATAGATTTTTAATAGATCAATCGACCGTTTACATTCCGGATAACAAGCACATGACGTAATCGCAAAACATATGTAAGGATATTGCATACAAATTGAGGACACGTGTGTATGTATGTTGAACTTCTTTCTCATCGTACGTAGCCAACCGTGCTAATCGGAGGCGTGCGTGTGTGTGTATATATATATAACTATGCAGAGAGTGAAATTACACAATTGTAATTATGACTGTGTTTGTTATTATCGTGGAATTAAACATTCACGAAATCAACCGCCGCCATCTTGGTGGCGAGAGTCACACCGACCACCAACATGGCGGACGTGACATCACTGCCCGACTGGCGAAGCGGCATCTTACGCTGAATTTTGTTATTTAAAGCTTTCGTGACTGCAGGGATTCGTATTCTTGGTTCTTTCGGTAAAGTCACCACGTAGAAGGGAAACAATAAAATTGCGTTGTTTTATATGATTATTTTATTGTTGAGTTTACTGTGAACCGCTGGTTATCGGAAGTTTCCATTGCGTCGTATTTACATCCCTAAAAAAAACAGTAGCACGAACACAAGCAGGTAGATGTGCAATGTTTCCTCATGCACGCGTGTACGTTGAACCTCTTTCGCACTGTGCGTAGCCAACCGCGCTAATCGGAGGTGCGGGGGAAGGACAACAAACTGAACACAAAAACCAGCAGTTCTAAAGAAATTAGTTCTCAATGTAGTATAATGGTATAGTAGTGTATAATAGTGTAGTGTGCAGTCATGCTGTGTGTAGTAGTGTATAGGGTAGTGTATAGTAGTGTAGTGCACGGTGTATGTGGGTTGAACTTCTTTCGCACCGTACGTAGCCAACTGCGCTAATCGGAGGTGTCGGTGGGGGAAGAACAGAAGGACTATTGGTTGTCCTCCTTGGGCAGAGGAAAATAAAAACGACGCTTTCACCGTGAGGCGTGAGAGTTATTTACCGAGAGACACGCACCACGGATCGAGACAGGAGACGTGGGAAGGAAGAGGAAGGAGAAGAAGAAGAAGAAGAGGAAGAAGAAGAAAATAGGTATTTTGGATTCATTTGGGACGCCACACGTAGAGATAATAACCGGAGATACGTCCAGAGAGACACGGAGACAAACATGACATAAAACGTTTCCCCGCTTAGGAAGCACTCATTACTTTCAACCAAAAGTTCACCGAGTAATGAGGCACGTGCAGACGCACGCGCGCACCTAGCCAAGTCCATCCACCACGAGAGGACTCTAAAAGTGGCTTTCAGGTGCACTGCAATGAGGGCAACGGCGCCGCGTCGCGTCTGCACGACTCTTTTAAAGTGTATCCCACGGTTGTGTTTGGAGAGACACGAGGCGCTGTCTGCACGCGTCACCAGCTCTGCAACCCCGAGCCAGGGGTTGCAGCGTATTTCGTGATTTATCAATCTCGAGGAATCTTCGGTCATCAAATTTCAGCCGCGACGTCCCAGAACGCCGTTTCCCGAAAGCGATCCGTCTCGCCGCCTCACCGCGCTTCCCGCACCCTGACTTCTGCGCGAACTTGTTCGCAGGGTTGTACGATGAAATATTGTACGATAACCGTTTATTTGTTTACTCTACCCGTGGCACACAATGCGGTGAGGGGAGTGGAGCCAAGGGAGCGATGCACGGGGAACGAGAAAGGAACGGGAGAGGGAAGGGACGCCAGGACAAAGAGGAGGGCACGGCTCAGGATGAGCAACAATGAGAAAGGAGGAGCCAGATAGAAGAGGAGGAGGAGGAGGAATGACTGGGTCGAGATGTTAGGGTGGGGGGGGGGGGTGAGAGGGTGGTGAGGATAATGATGATGAGGAGAGGAAAGGGATGAGAGGGTGGTGAGGATAATGATGAGGAGGAGAGGAGAGGGATGAGAGGGTGGTGAGGATGAGGAGGAGAGGAATAAGAGGGTGGTGAGGATGATGATGAGGAGAGGGTGGTGAGGATGATGATGAAGAGGAGAGGGATGAGAGGGAGAAGAGTGCAGGAAGGAGCGAGTGGCAGTGAGCTGCATGACGGCGTCTGTTTTCACAGCGGGCGGTGGGGAGAGAGAGAGGAGGGGGGGGGGATTCTGATGTGGTGGAGAGGGGGGGGCAACGCCGAAGTCACGTGACTTACAGGAGGCTCCATCTTATTTCGATACGTATGAATACCTTTGTACTCGAGTGGTGGTGCCCTACTTGGATAAGTCCTACTCCACAAGTCGATCGAGTGAGACGTTTTCGCCAATGTGTGCCTTTGAAACGAGATCGAGATTTGATGAACAAGGAAACGGCACGTGGCCCCGCTCTCTGTCCCTCCGGCTGGACTTTGAGAATAATAATAATAATGAAGAAAACACGTTTCAAGCCGCGGCGCGCGAGTCCACTCGGAGAACTCTGGTGGAGACGCAGAGACGTGGAGAGAGGTAACGATTACGACGAAGTACTGTCGCAGATACGGAGACAAATTCCTCGATAGTGGTGGCAGTGATGAACATTTGAGGTTATATTTGATTACGATATTGACACACAGACAACACACACACTGGGGAGGGAGGGCGGTGGTGGTAGGGGGGGGGGGGTATAACTCTAGGACGTGAATCGGACTTGGTTGATGGTAATCAGCATCGATCTCTTAAGCCCAATGTATTTCACAAGATATCATCAGTATGAGGACCGCCACACATTTGGGGGTGTAACAGTGGCACGACGATGATGATGATGATGAGGGGTGTTGTCACGTGTTGTGTATTGTCAGGGGCCGCACGACCCTTGTAACGAAGAACACTGGGATAGAGTGTTTCCCCCTCGCACGCACCGCCTTAGGTCACGGGGCACCCCCTATCGGCAGGACACCTCTACCCAGCAGCTCTGAATGCCACCAGCTAGCGGTCATCAGGCGGGGTAGGTGAGGGGGCGCGAGTGTCCCAGGAATCCCTGGGTACCAATAACAACAACAAACAACAACAAAAAGCAGGGATGCCTTCTGCGTGACGCGACAAGCCAGATGATTTGCCGGGAGGTGACGCGACTTTTGGCTTGTAGTTTATTCGCGTTGTTTTAACGGAGATTCACGACGCCGTTTGCTACAGCGAGAGACGCCAAATTGGCAGAGAGGAGCAACGTCATGGGGACGGCTGACGAGGTACGAGAGACGTAAGTCGCGACGGCGTGTCGGACTTCCCGAGAGAAAGAGGGAAGAAGAAGAGGAGCCGGCGGAACGAGGTTTCAGCGGCGGGATGGCGTCGCAGCGGTCGCAGGGGACGACTGGACCAGCAGCAATGCAGTCACGTGCTGTGGCTGTGCGGCTGGGGGCTGAAGATACTGCTGATGATCACCATCAATCTGCCACTGCTGCTGCTGAAATAGGATTCCCCCGGCTCAGGATTCAAACTCAACGGGATTCCAAAACCAATCCTGCATGATCCTTCCCTACCCTCCCTCCTCCCTCCCTCCCCTCATCCCTTACTACCTCCCTACCTCCCTCCCTTCCTCCCTCACTCCCTCCCTGCCTACCTACCTATCCTCCTCCCTCACTCCCTCCCTACCTATACCTCCTTCCCTTATTCTTTTCCCATCTTATATGCATGAGGACGATCGCACAATGACAGCTCCGCTCATCGCCTTCACAAGAACAACGCGTCCCAGCCCCATCCCCCCCCCCCCCGTCTGAAAAATAAGAATGAGCATCATCCTCTTCTTTCTGGCAATAATAAAACAGGAGGCGTTAGGGCGTTCCGCAGACGCCCCCCATTGTCCCCCTGCGCAGTGGCCCTTTAACCGCGCGCGGCAACCGTGCGACCGGGGGGAGGCAGGGAGGGAGGGAGGCAGGGAGCAGGCGTGGGTCCCCACGGTTAGCAAATCTGCCCAATTTGAAACATTTCTATTCGCAACAACTACTTGGCGGTGGGTTAAAGCGACGGGGAAATCGCCCCGTCGTCCCCCGTGAGGCTCCCCTGGCAGACGAGCCGCCCGCCTACAGGGCCCGTGCCGTGTTCACCTTTTAGCCGCAACAGGGACAGCTGACAACGGGCGTGGGGGGGGGGGGGGGGTCGCTCCCAGGGTCCTCAGAGCCAAAACGCCGAGCTGCGTATCGCCACGATCGTTACCGTCACACGGACGCCGCCTAAAACGAAACGTTTTGTGTTCGTCGTCGAGGTTGTCAATGCCTCTCTCCTCTTCCTCCTCCTCCTTCCAGTAAGACCCACATTCACTTACACACACACACCGCCCAAAACTCTACCCCTCTAGCCTACCCTCCGACCCACCCTCCACGTGGATCTCCTGGTCGTGGTGTCGCACGAACGTGTCTCAGGCGGGGGACACCTGGCTGGTAGACACAGATGACACCTCCGTCTTGCTGGTCGAGGCTCCCGAGTCTTCATCGCCCAGGGGATTCTTGCCGCAGCACAGCGTGGTGATCATGCAGTTGCGGAACTGCGAGGCGGGAGCGAGCAGACATCGTCAAAATCGTCGTCGCCGGCGATGATTTTTTTTTGTTCGCCGTTTGTTCACATTTCGCGATCGTCGTTATTGGTGTGCCGATGTCGTCATTGATGTCATCGCGAACAGCAGCAGCAGCTTCGTACATTAATAAGCAGCATCAACACCACCACTGTCACCACCTTCACCAATAACATCGCCGCCACCGCCATCATCGCCATCGCCACCATCATCACTATCGTCACCATCATCACCAACATTGCCATCACTAACATCATTATAACCATCACCGATATCGCCACCACCAAGATCATCATCAGCAACATCGTCATCACCAACATCGTCACCAACAAAGACAAAGATCCCCCATATAGTCTTAATAGACTGTAGGAGCAAGTGCTGTTTGCGAGCACCTATCAAGGCCGGCATGGTACACGAGGAGATGGGTGGCCAGCACCATTCCCGGCCGCCTTTGTCTCCCGAGTGGCTAGGTTTACACACCGCACCTGGTACAGGTCTCATTTCAGGCTGAGTCGACCTTGGGGATGCCCAGAGCCGGTTCATAAAATCGTCACCGGTGTCTACCGGGAGCGGGAATCGAACCCGGGCCGCCGGGTTCGTGGCGAAGCGCACTAACCATTGAACTGCCACCACCGACATCAAAATCATCATCATCACGACCAACAACCACTACCACAAAGTGGCGGTGACGTCACCACGGCGCCTGTGCCAGGCCAGGTGCACTTTAAGGCCACGTGATAGTGTCGAACCGCCCGTTGGCAGGTGCCACGGGCTTGACCGACTTGAGACGACTGACAGATGCACCACCCGTGCCCCCCACCCCACCCCCTACTCCTGTGCAAACTCGCTGTGCCACCAATACCATTGGACACTCGGTGCCGGCGACGCCACCACGGCGATCGTGCCAGGCTAGGTGCACTGTCAGGCCGTCACGGGAAGTGTCGAAGGCTCGCTACTGGGACAGACCCAGCAGGTACCACGGGCTTGACCGACTTGAGACTTAGGGCCGTCCATAAATGACGTCACGCGATTTTGGACGATGTTTGTCCCCCCCCTCCTTCGTCACACGACGTCAAAAAAGTCAGACCCCCCCCCCTCAAATATGACGTCACAAAGCTCTGCCCCCCAACCTCCCCCCAAATAAAACATGCTCACAAATCGCTTTAAACTATTTGTCATTGCAGTGCGTATTTAATGTGCCGCTGCACTCTGATGTTGTAGGAGAAAACATTTATTAAAAAGTCTATTTATAATTAAGTAGAACGTGTTGTCTATATTTATTTAAAGTTGCGCATTTTGATGTGACGTCACAATTCTCAAACCCCCCCTCTACCCCTCGTCACACATCGTCACAAATGTCTGACCGCCCACCCCCCCCCCGCCCCAGGTGCGTGACGTCATTTACGGACAGCCCATTACTGGTGGATGCACCAACTTTGCTCAACCCCCCTCCCTCCCTCCCCTACTGCTGTGCCAACACCGCCGTGAACCCCGCCACCGCGTTGCTCACCTGCTTGTTCATGAGGATGTAGATGATCGGGTTGTAGAGGGCCGAGGTCTTGGCGAAGAAGGCCGGCACGGTCATGAACGTAGCGCCGAAGTCGGAGCCCTGGTGGGTGAAGATGTAGAAGGCCACCGAGGCGTACGGCACCCAGCACACGAGGAAGCCGATCACCATGAGCACCACCATGCGTGTCACCTCCTTCTCGGCCTTCTGCGTGGACGCAGACTCTTGCTGGGCGGCGGCCGCCTAAGAGGAAGGGGTGGTGGTGGGGGGGGGTCACGGGGTTAGAGCTGTCCAGGGTGCGCGCTGCTAGGAGATGTTAAGTTCTGTGACCCGACTGGACATTTTTGAAAAAAGAGCTTTATAGCTCATCGGGTTACTCCACTATAAATAAACATTCTGATGAGTGCCTTCCCTTGTATACGATACCGATAACCGACCCTGACGCCTGCTTCTTATATCTGGAGTTTGCGGTGTCTCTCTCTCTCTCTCCACGTGGTCGCGTGGATTTTTCTCCGGGTCCTTCGGGTTTTTCCCTCCCCCCTCCAGGCGAGGTGGTTGACGTCTCATCACCGTCGTGGTGATGCGCCTCCCGCCGCCACGCGGTTACTCAATCTCGAGGAGGGAATGACTCGGACGCGCGAGGAACCACAGACTAGCGGGAAGGTAGCAGTCAGGCAGCAGTGAGCTGGCACAACACCCCCTCCCCCCCTCCCAAGCTCTGTGGTTCTCTACATATTAAGGTATAATCGTCCAATGAATAGGTGCTACAATGTGGGAGGAAACCGGAGAACACCCGGGGGAAAAACCTGGGTGTTAACAGCAGTGCCGGATGAAGCTAGTGAGGGACCTGTAGTATATGTTGTTATAAAGGGGCCCTACATTTAAAAAAAAACACGTAAATATTAAAACACAATTTTTTTTACTTGCACAGTAAAGTAATTGTATTTTTTCATTTGCTATACAGCCAGATAATACGATCAATCGCTAACCTTAAACACCCAGTCGTTAACGAAAGCTGAAGGCGGTATAGTACTATAGTATTAGAGCAAGTGCAGAATCACTGAACCGGAATTGACAGCTTGAAAGCGTTTAGCGCGGGGCCCTTGAAAGTGCGGGGCCCGTAGCTTGCGTAGCTTCTTAGGATAATCCGGCACTGGTTAGCATCACGCTATTCCATACAGACGGAAAAGATGAAGTCCGCATTTTCTGTACCGCCTTCTGACTTGCCAGGGTTATAGTTCGTCGTCGAAGCCAACAGGAAGGAAGTGTCACAACATCTGTGTGTGATCCAGCAACTCCTGCTGTTGCCGCCACAGTGTGTGTACGTACGTTCGACTTCTTTCGCAAAACGTACGTAGCCAACCGAGCTTATTGGAGGTGCGGGTCTCAGGCCACGTGCGTAGCCACCGCCCAGCACATGACCCAATCAGACTCATCAGAACGTGTATTTATTCTGCAGAAGGAAGAGCTTTAAAGCCATTTTTCATAAATGTCCAGTCGGGGCACGGGGTCAGAACATTCCGACAAATATTGAAAAGGAACACGATCGGAGTGCAAACTATAGGAAAGCTAAACAAATCAATAAAAAATACATGCAAATAATACTAAACTAATTTTCGTCTTTAACGCCCACTGAGCTATTAACTTATTTTTTGATAAGCGACCTGGTCACAAACGAAACGTCGTGGTTTTTAATCTTTTTCATCAATTTGAACCTATCCACGTGACTTTACCGAAAGACCCAAAGAATAAAACTCAATATAACTACCCAGAATGAGCCCCAGTCTCGCCGAATCTCAGAAGCTAAGCGGGGCTGAGCCTGCACATTTGTCTTGGACGGGCGAATGTACCCCACCCTTCGCTGGCCAGAATGGTGAAGTATGGCCAAAGGATATGGCCAAACGTGTGCTCGAACAACACCCCCCACCCCACCCACCACTGATAAAGGTGTCGTGACATCCGGGGAAACGAGTGGCATTGCCCCGTCTTAATTGTAAGGCTAAACAAGTCAAATTGTAATCGTTGTGGGTTTGACTCTCCAACACATCGGGTGTGCTGAAGTAGTCACTAACTGGCCAAATTTTTGATGTTGTCTACATGATAAAACATTACTATAATAATAGGGTTTTTCCCCTTTTTTTCTGGCAACAAAACTGAAACCTTTTTACAAGGATTCATGTCTACATTAACCACAATACCTGCAGTCAAAATGAAAACAAAAAAAACACTGATAATATATGCATTGTCCTTGAAACTGATTGGTCCACACCAAGGGACGGCTTTCTTTTGAGCCTCGACCCAATTTGTGCTCGACCAGATGACGCCAAAAGGCGCATGCCTTTTGGCGTCATCTGGTCGAGGCGTACGCCTTTTGGCGTCATCTGGTCGAGCACAAATTGGGTCGAGGCTCAAAAGAAAGCCGTCCCTTGGTGTCATCTGGTCAAGGCGTACGCCTTTTGGCGTCATGTCGTCGAGGCGTACGCCTTTTGGCGTCATCTGGTCAAGGCGTACGCCTTTTGGCGTCATCTGGTCAAGGCGTACGCCTTTTGGCGTCATCTGGTCGAGGCGTACGCCTTTTGGCGTCATCTGGTCGAGGCGTACGCCTTTTGGCGTCATCTGGTCAAGGCGTACGCCTTTTGGCGTCATCTGGTCGAGCTGTACGCCTTTTGGCGTCATCTGGTCGAGCACCAATTGGGTCGAGGCTCAAATAAGAAAGCCGTCCCTTGGTGTGAACCAATCAGTTTCAAAGACAATGCATATATTATCATACTATGTTTTTTGTTTGCATTTTGACTGCAGGTATTGTGGTTAATGCAGACATGAATCCTTGTCAAAAGGTTTCAGTTTTGTTGCCAGAAAAAAGGGGGAAACCATTATTATTATATTTTGGTACTGGCAAAGGAGGTCTAATGACGTAAAACATTACTAATTGGCTGTGTCGGGTGGTGGTGGGTTTAACGACACGACACTTATTTTCACGCGATCTAACCCAACAACAACAAACACATTTATCGTGAATCACTCTTTGGTTCTTTCGGTAAAGCCACGTAGAAATAAATTAAATAGTAATAGAATACGACGTTTCGATTGCAACACAAGCAACCATCATCAGGTACAAATGAATGAGAAAACAAAACACACTAAACTTGAAAATAGAATGCAATACAACACAGCGAGTCGGCCAACACCACAAGTCAACACCGCACCTGGTCAATTAGTTTCGAATCTAGTTTGATTAATTGTGAAGGCTAACACTGCCGCCCAGTGGCGAGATTGAGCGGCTTATAAACCAGTAGCGATTAACCTCAATCGTAAAACAATTTACAATGTGAATAGATACATAGGGGTTTGATGAAACAAAGTAAGTTGTACTTACGCGCTACGCGCTTAATTTGTGTTCCGACTATTTACCTTCAAAATACAAATCTGGCCATGTCTCGCACCCCCAGAATGTGCAGCGTGTACCCCCAGGTTGAGAGTCACTGCTCTGACTGGAGTGCAGCGAGGCTCTTGAAATTACCTTCTTGTTATTTTGGTTGCCGACCCCTGACCATGGAAGTCCAGTTCACCATGGAAGTCCAAGTTACCATGGAAGTCCGGTTCACCATGGAAGTTCAGATTACCATGGAAGTCCAGTTCACCATGGAAGTCCAAATTACCATGGAAGTCCAGTTTACCATTGAAGTCCAGTTTACTAGGGAAGAACGAGATCACCATGGAAATCCAGTTTACTATGGAAGTCCAGTTTACCATGGAAGTCCAGTTCACCATGGAAATCCAGTTTACTGTGGAAAAACCAGATCACCATGGAAGTCCAGTTTACCATGGAAGTCCAGTTTACTATGGAAGAACCAGATCACCATGGAAATCCAGTTTACCATGGAAGTCCAGTTTACCATGGAAGTCCAGTTCACCATGGAAATCCAGTTTACTATGGAAAAACCAGATCACCATGGAAGTCCAGTTTACCATGGAAGTCCAGTTTACCATGGAAGTCCAGTTTACCATGGAAATCCAGTTTACTATGGAAGAACCAGATCACTATGGAAATCCAGTTTACCATAAAAGTCCAGTTCACCATGGAAGTCCAGTTCACCATGGATGTCCAGTTAACCATGGCAGTCCAGTTTACCATGGAAGTCCAGTTTACCATGGAAGTCCATTTTACTATGGAAGAACCAGATCACCATGGAAATCCAGTTTACCATAAAAGTCCAGTTTACCATGGAAGTCCAGTCTACCATGGAAGTCCAGTTTACCATGGAAATCCAGTTTACTATGGAAGAACCAGATCACAATGGAAATCCAGTTTACCATGGAAGTCCAGTTCACCATGGAAGTCCAGTTCACCATGGATGTCCAGTTCACCATGGAAGTCCAGTTCACCATGGAAGTCCAGTTCACCATGAAATTCCAGTTTATTATAAAAACCAGATCACCATGGAAGTCCAGTTTACCATGGAAATCCAGTTTACCATGGAAATCCAGTTTACTATGGAAGAACCAGATCATTGAAATCCAGTTCACCATGGAAGTCCAATTTACCATGGAAGTCCATTTTACCATTGAAGTCCAGTTCACCATGGAAGTCCAGTTCACCATGGAAGTCCAGTTCACCATGGAAGTCCAGTTTACCATGGAAGTCCAGTTCACCATGGAAGTCCAGTTTACCATTGAAGTCCAGTTCACCACAGTAGTCCAGTTTACCATGGAAGTACAGTTTACTCGGGAAGAACCAGATCACCATGGAAGGCCAGTTCACCATGGAAGTCCAGTTCACCATGGAAGTCCAGTTTACTATGGAAGTCCAGTTCACCATGGAAGTCCAGTTCACCATGGAAGTCCAGATCACCATGGAAGTCCAGATCACCATGGCAGTCCAGTTCACCATGGAAGTCCAGTTAAATATGGAATTCCAGTTTACCATGGAAGTCCATTTCACCATGGAAGTCCAATTTACCATGGAAGTCCAGTTTACCATTGAGGTCCAGTTAACCAAAGCAGTCCAGTTTACCATGGAAGTCCAGTTTACTAGGGAAGAACCAGATCACCATGGAAATCCAGTTTACCATTGAGGTCCAGTTAACCAAAGCAGTCCAGTTTACCATGGAAGTACAGTTTACTCGGGAAGAACCAGATCACCATGGAAGGCCAGTTCACCATGGAAGTCCAGTTCACCATGGAAGTCCAGTTTACTATGGAAGTCCAGTTCACCATGGAAGTCCAGTTCACCATGGAAGTCCAGATCACCATGGAAGTCCAGATCACCATGGCAGTCCAGTTCACCATGGAAGTCCAGTTAAATATGGAATTCCAGTTTACCATGGAAGTCCATTTCACCATGGAAGTCCAATTTACCATGGAAGTCCAGTTTACCATTGAGGTCCAGTTAACCAAAGCAGTCCAGTTTACCATGGAAGTCCAGTTTACTAGGGAAGAACCAGATCACCATGGAAATCCAGTTTACCATGGAAGTCCAGTTTACCATGACAGTCCAGTTTACCATGGAAGTCCAGTTTACTAGGAAAGAACCAGATCACCATGGAAGTCCAGTTTACCATGGAAGTCCAGTTCACCATGGAAGTCCAGTTTGCCATTGAAATGCAGTTCACCATGGCAGTCCAGTTTACCGTGGAAATCCAGTTTACTATGGAAGAACCAGATCACCATGGAAATCCAGTTTACCATGGAAGTCCAGTTCACCATGGAAGTCCAGTTTACCATAGAAGTCCAGTTCACCATGGAAGTCCAGTTTACGTTGGAAGCCCAGATTACCATAGAAATCCAGTTCACCATGACCTGTGGCTCCACAGCCGTGTGCGGCTCGTTAAGGACCGCTTCATGACCGTTGCTTATTAAGGGCCCCGCCGTCTTGTATTCACAACGCATTGCGGCTCTCGAAATATCGGGATTTTTTGGGAGGGTTGACTAAATTTGAAAAAAAATTGTCGCTTCTTGTTGTTTCGGTTGCCGACCCCCTGATCGAAGGGAAGAGGCGATTAATCGATTCTTTTATCCTCGACTCTGTTGGGATACGCGCATCGAATCGCGCGTGTGTCAACGTGAGTGTGTCCGTCTGTCCGACTAATGGTCTGTTGTATAATTGTCAAGTCCGCCAGTGTGTCCGCCCGTCTCTCCAATTGCCGTGTGTGTGTGTGCGCACCACTCAGCCTCAAAAGGGGTACCTGGTGCGGTGTCTAAACATCGCTACTGGGGAGACAAAGGCGGCCGGGCGTGGTGTTCGCCACCCACCCTCTCGTGTGCCGTGCCGGCCTTCATAGGTGCTCGCTAACAGCACTTGCCCCAACAGTCTGTTAAGGCTATACGGGGGATTTTTGTCTTTGTACGTCTGTCTCTCTCCACAATAAAGGTTTTTGGGTTAGAGCGCGTCAATATAAATACGTCATATCCCTCCACCACCCAACACAGCCAATTATTACGGGATGTGTCACGTCAACAAAACGCCAATTAATGACTACTTCAGCCCATTAAAATCCCTTGCTAATTGGTTGTGTCGGGTGGTGGAGGGTTGCGACGCATTAATTACTTACGCGATCTAACCCAAAAACCTTTATTATGAAAAATATTGGGTCGCGAAAGCCTCCTGCGTGTTAAACTGTCAATCTCTCTGTTTGTCTGTGGGCTCCCCGTACCTCCTTCACTGTGCACAGCAGACGCCCGTAGCAGAAGAAGATGACTATGAAGGGAATGATGAAGTGAACGAGGAACATGTAGATCACGAACGACTCGTTGTTGAAGTTGGGGTTCAGCGTGTAGTAGTCAGGCCCACAGGAGCACTGCATTCCTTCCGGTAAGTACCTGCCAGTCATTCATTCATGTCTACATTACTGCATTGTCTCAAGCATGTACCTGTTATTCATTCATTTCTACACTAGTGCATTGTCTCAAACATGTACCTGTTATTCATTCATGTCTACATTACTGCATTGTCTCAAACATGTACCAGCCATTCATTCATTTCTACACTAGTGCATTGCTTCAAGCATGTACCTGTTATTCATTCATTTCTACATTAGTGCATTGTTTCAAGCATGTCCCAACCATTCATTCATTTCTACATTAGTGCATTGCTTCAAGCATGTACCAGCCATTCATTCATTTCTACATTAGTGCATTGCTTCAAGCATGTACCTGTTATTCATTCATTTCTACATTAGTGCATTGTTTCAAGCATGTCCCAACCATTCATTCATTTCTACATTAGTGCATTGCTTCAAGCATGTACCAGCCATTCATTCATTTCTACATTAGTGCATTGCTTCAAGCATGTACCTGTTATTCATTCATTTCTACATTAGTGCATTGTTTCAAGCATGTCCCAACCATTCATTCATTTCTACATTAGTGCATTGTTTCAAGCATGTCCCAACCATTCATTCATTTCTACATTAGTGCATTGCTTCAAGCATGTACCAGCCATTCATTCATTTCTACTTGAGTGCATTGCTTCAAGCATGTACCTGTTATTCATTCATTTCTACATTAGTGCATTGCTTCAAACATGTCCCAACCATTCATTCATTTCTACACTAGTGCATTGTTTCAAACATATACCAGCCATTCATTCATTTCTACATGAGTGCATTGCTTCAAGCATGTAGCAGCCATTCATTCATTTCTACAATAGTGCATTGTTTCAAACATATACCAGCCATTCATTCATTTCTACATTAGTGCATTGCTTCAAGCATCTACCAACCATTCATTCATTTCTACTTGAGTGCATTGCTTCAAGCATGTACCAGCCATTCATTCATGTCTACATTAGTGCATTGTTTCAAACATGTAACAGCCATTCATTCATGTCTACATTAGTGCATTGTTTCAAGCATCTACCAACCATTCATTCATTTCTACTTGAGTGCATTGCTTCAAGCATGTACCTGGCATTCATTCATTTCTACACTAGTGCATTGCTTCAAGCATGTACCAACCATTCATTCATTTCTACACTAGTGCAGTGTTTCAAGCTTGTACCAGCCATTCATTCATTTCTACATTAGTGCATTGCTTCAAGCATGTACCAACCATTCATTCATTTCTACAATAGTGCATTGCTTCAAGCATGTACAGTCATTCATTCATTTCTACATTAGTGCATTGCTTCAAGCATGTACTAGCCATTCATTCATTTCTACAATAGTGCATTGTTTCAAGCATGTACCAGCCATTCATTCATTTCTACATTAGTGCATTGCTTTAAGCATGTACCAACCATTCATTCATTTCTACAATAGTGCATTGTTTCAAGCATGTACCAGCCATTCATTCATTTCTAAATTAGTGCATTGCTTCAAGCATGTACCAGCCATTCATTCATTTCTACAATAGTGCATTGTTTCAAGCATGTACCAACCATTCATTAAATTCTACATTAGTGCATTGCTTCAAGCATGTACCAACCATTCATTCATTTCTACATTAGTGCATTGCTTCAAGCATGTACCAACCATTCATTAAATTCTACATTAGTGCATTGCTTCAAGCATGTACCAGCCATTCATTCATTTCTACATTAGTGCATTGTTTCAAGCATGTACCAACCATTCATTCATTTCTACATTAGTGCATTGTCTCAAACATGTACCAGCCATTCATTCATTTCTACATTAGTGCAGTGTCTCAAGCATGTACCAGCCATTCATTCATTTCTACATTAGTGCATTGTTTCAAGCATGTACCAACCATTCATTCATTTCTACATTAGTGCATTGTCTCAAACATGTACCAGCCATTCATTCATTTCTACATTAGTGCAGTGTCTCAAGCATGTACCAGCCATTCATTCATTTCTACACTAGTGCATTGCTTTAAGCATATAACAGCAATTCATTCATTTCTACATGAGTGCATTGCTTCAAACATGTACCAGCCATTCATTCATTTCTACATTAGTGCAGTGTCTCAAGCATGTACCAGCCATTCATTCATTTCTACATTAGTGCATTGCTTTAAGCATGTACCAACCATTCATTCATTTCTACAATAGTGCATTGTTTCAAGCATGTACCAGCCATTCATTCATTTCTAAATTAGTGCATTGCTTCAAGCATGTACCAGCCATTCATTCATTTCTACAATAGTGCATTGTTTCAAGCATGTACCAACCATTCATTAAATTCTACATTAGTGCATTGCTTCAAGCATGTACCAACCATTCATTCATTTCTACATTAGTGCATTGCTTCAAGCATGTACCAACCATTCATTAAATTCTACATTAGTGCATTGCTTCAAGCATGTACCAGCCATTCATTCATTTCTACATTAGTGCATTGTTTCAAGCATGTACCAACCATTCATTCATTTCTACATTAGTGCATTGTCTCAAACATGTACCAGCCATTCATTCATTTCTACATTAGTGCAGTGTCTCAAGCATGTACCAGCCATTCATTCATTTCTACACTAGTGCATTGCTTTAAGCATATAACAGCAATTCATTCATTTCTACATGAGTGCATTGCTTCAAACATGTACCAGCCATTCATTCATTTCTACATTAGTGCAGTGTCTCAAGCATGTACCAGCCATTCATTCATTTCTACACTAGTGCATTGCTTTAAGCATATAACAGCAATTCATTCATTTCTACATGAGTGCATTGCTTCAAACATGTAACAGCCATTCATTCATTTCTACATTAGTGCAGTGTTTCAAGCATGTTCCAGCCATTCATTCATTTCTACATTAGTGCATTGCTTCAAGCATGTAACAGCCATTAATTCATTCGGGAATTGCTTACAGCGTGCACCTACCGTTCATTCCTACATGAGCGCATTCCTTCCCGGAGGTAGGTACCATTGATTTATATTTTTTGTGAATACATTCTTTCCGGCAGGTATATGTCATTCATCCAGTCCCTCCGTGGATTAATTCATTCATGAATGTCTTCACTCAATGCATCATTCATTCAAAATTGCATTCCTTTTGGCAGGTACGAGTCATTCATTAATGAGGGAATTCAGTCATTCGTGCGTGCAGTTATTCATTTCGCCATTCATTCACTCTGACGGGTACCTATCAGAATGTTATTTTCCGACGTCGGGGATGCGTTCCCGAAAGGTACGGCGACGAATACCGAAATGCCGTCAATCGACGCGGTGTATAGGGTCGTAGGCGTCCTCTGGTCTAACACCGTTTGAGACGAGGTTCAAGAGAAATCTGTCTCTGGTGTGGACCAATCAGTTTCAAGGGAAATGCATAAATTATCAGAGTGCGTTTTTTTTTGCATTTTGACCACAAGTATTGTGGTCAATGCAGACATGATTGCTTGTAAAAAGGTTAAATTTTGGTGTTTAAACAGCTTAACACCTGTTTTGTTTTGATTTAAAGCTTTCGTGACTGCAGGGATTCATATTCTTTGTTCTTTCGGTAAAGTCACTGTAGAAGGGAAACAATAAAATAATAAAAATATAAAACAATAAAATTCTCACGACGTTTCGACTGCAACACAAGCAATCATCATCAGGTGTGAAAACCACAGCAAGAAAATTTGAAAAAAGTGGCGGGCTTTTTTAACGTTAGCACCACGGAGAGCGATTTGGCAGTTTGTTCAGATGGACGAGTCCATCTATGTTCGTAAAAGAGGAGGGGGGAGACGAAAAATTAATGTATGCTGCCTGAAAGCCACCGTAAGCGTGAACAATCAATTAAGACCCGAAATGGTTTATCAAATCTTTCCAATGATTGCTAAGCCAGAATCCATCTTCTCGGTTGAAATTGTCTCTGTGTTTGTATATTGGATAGCCTCATGAACGAATCTTTCATGGTAGCCAGATGGCTTGCAAAGAACCTCTGTCTTGGAGAAGTCAATGTCACGTGAGCCTACTGAATTATAACAGTGATCTGCCAAGGCCGAGGTGTTGGTTCTACCGTGTTTTAGGTCTGCTTTGTGTTCACGAATGCGGTCCGAGACATGTCGTTTGGTTTCTCCAATGTAACTACTACCACAGAGGCAACTTAGTTTGTAGACACCAGGGTACTGTATGTCCAGAATCACATCTTTTACAGACGGAACCAGATCACGGATTTTATGCAATGTGTTGAATCGGACCTGGACCTTGTGTTTATTCAAGATTTTGGAGATCTTTTTTGTGATCCCCGCAATGTAGGGTAAAGTGATGGTTTTGAAAGGCTTCTCAAGAGGGTCCTTCTTCATGGTTGAAGTGATAGCTTTGCGGATTGTGTAGTCGGAGTAATCATTAGCCTTAAGAGCTTGGTGTACGTGCTTGAGTTCACTGGCTATGTGTTCCTGGTCGGATATGCATTGGGCTCTATGGTGCAGAGTCTTGATGAGGGAATTCTTCTGGGATGGATGTTGGTGGGAATCTGGTTTCAGGTAAGCATCCGTATGGGTAGCTTTTCTGTCAATAGAGTGGCACATTGAACCATCAGGTCTCTTTTTTATTAGGACATGCAAAAAAGGTAGCTTGCCATCTTTTTCAACTTCCATGGTAAATTTGATGGCTGGGTGTATGGAATTGATGTGGTCGAGGAATTGGTCTAGAGCAGGCCGGCCATGTGGCCAGATGACAAAAGTGTCATCCACGTACCTCTTCCATAAGGTTGGGCGCAGAGTGGCAGTCTGGATGGCGTCAGTCTCAAATTTCTCCATGAAAACGTTGGCTACAACCGAAGATAGGGGGGGGGGGGGGGCCATTGGGGTGCCCTCAGTTTGTTTGTAGAAAGTTCCATTCCAAGTGAAGCATGTATTAGTTAAGCAGTGTCTCACCAGGGGGGTACCTCAGTGTTTAGTCCTTGATGAACCAAGTCTTCAATGATTGCGATGGTGTCAGGTACAGGAACCTTGGTGAATAAGGAAACTACATCAAAACTGACAAGCAGGTCGTCTGGGGACAGGGAAATACCCTTGATTGTCGATACCACGTGAGTAGAATTTTGTACCGCAGAGGTGGTTTTTCCAGTGAAAGGCCGCGGGATTTCAGACAGAAAACGAGCCAGTTTGTAGGTGGGGAGTTGATAGTAGAGACGATGGGACGAAGGGGTGTATCTACTTCATGTATTTTTGGTAAGCCGTATAATCTTGGTGGCCTGGCAGCAGAAGGTTTCAACGAGAACTGTTTGGTTTGATCAATTAATGCGGTTGAATCAGAAATGATTTTGTTGGTTTGTATGACGAGGCTGTTGGTGGGATCTCTTTTTATTTTTGTATAGCTGCCATCGTTGAGTAATTCTTGAATAAAATAGAATAAAACAACAAAATTTGGGGATCACAAAAAAAGATCTCCGAAATCTTGAATAAACACAAGATCCAGGTCCGATTCAACACATTACATAAAATCCGTGATCTGGTTCCATCTGTAAAAGATGTGATTCAGTACCCTGGCGTCTACAAACTAAGTTGCTTCTGTGGTAGTAGTTACATTGGAGAAACCAAACGACATGTCTCGGACCGCATTCGTGAACACAAAGCAGACATAAAACACGGTAGAACCAACACCTCGGCCGTGGCAAATCACTGTTATAATTCAGTAGGCTCACATGACATTGACTTCTCCAAGACAGAGGTTCTTTGCAAGCCATCTGGCTACCATGAAAGATTCGTTCATGAGGCTATCCACATATACAAACACAGAGAATTTCAACCGAGAAGATGGATTCTAGCTTAGCAATCATTGGAAGGATTTGATAAACCATTTCGGGTCTTAATTGATTGATCACGCTTACGGTGGCTTTCAGACCGCATCCATTATTTTCATCTCCCCCCTCCTCTTTTCCGAACATAGATGGACTCGTCCATCTGAACAAACTGTCAAATCGCTCTCCGTGGTGCTAACGTTAAAAAAACGCCACTTTTTTAAAATGTTCTTGTTGTGGTTTTCACACCTGATGATGATTGCTTGTGTTGCAGTCGAAACGTCGTGATAATTTTATTGTCTTATATATTTTTTAATTATTGCATTGTTTACCTTCTACGTGACTTTACCGAAAGAACCAAGAATATATATAGTGACGACGTTGTTAACGAAACGACGTACATCAGGGGTCCCCAACACCCGGTCCATGGCCTGTTAGGGACCGGGCCGCACAGCAGCAGGAGGTGAGAGCGGTGAGTCCGCACGTGGCCCGCCTCCATTGGTTTATTATTATTCACCACTTCCGTCCGCGCCTCTTTACCGCACTGCGCACTTGTCTCCCACAAGCTAACCCCTAGTAGCCACAATGAGTAAGCCCACGAGCTCTAACCCCTAGTAGCCACAATGAGTTACCCCGTAAGCTCTAACCCCTAGTAGCTACAATGAGTAAGCCCACAAGCTCTAACCCCTAGTAGCCACAATGAGTTACCCCGTAAGCTCTAACCCCTAGTAGCCACAATGAGTAAGCCCACAAGCTCTAACCCCTAGTAGCCACAATGAGTAAGCCCACAAGCTGACACCTAGTAGCCACAATGAGAAAGCCCACAAGCTAACCCCTAGCAGCCACAATGAGTAAGCCCACAAGCTAACCCCTAGTAGCCACAATGAGTAAGCCCACGAGCTCTAACCCCTAGTAGCCACAATGAGTTACCCCGTAAGCTCTAACCCCTAGTAGCCACAATGAGTAAGCCCACAAGCTCTAACCCCTAGTAGCCACAATGAGTAAGCCCACAAGCTGACACCTAGTAGCCACAATGAGTAAGCCCACAAGCTAACCCCTAGCAGCCACAATGAGTAAGCCCACAAGCTAACCCCTAGTAGCCACAATGAGTAAGCCCACAAGCTCTAACCCTAGTAACCACAATGAGTAAGCCCACAAGCTCTAACCCCTAGTAGCCACAGTGAGTAAGCCCACAAGCTCTAACCCCTAGTAGCCACAATGAGTAAGCCAACAAGCTAACCCCTAGTAGCCACAATGTGTAAGCCCACAAGCTCTAACCCCTAGTAGCCACAATGAGTAAGCCCACAAGCTCTAACCCTAGTAACCACAATCAGTAAGCCCACAAGCTCTAACCCCTAGTAGCCACAATGAGTAAGCCCACAAGCTCTAACCCCTAGTAGCCACAATGAGTAAGCCCACAAGCTCTAACCCCTAGTAGCCACAATGAGTAAGCCCACAAGCTCTAACCCCTAGTAGCCACAATGAGTAAGCCAACAAGCTCTAACCCCTAGTAGTCACAATGAGTAAACCCACAAGCTCTAACCCCTCGTAGCCACAGTGAGTAAGCCCACAAGCTCTAACCCCTAGTAGCCACAATGAGTAAGCCAACAAGCTAACCCCTAGTAGCCACAATGAGTAAGCCCACAAGCTCTAACCCCTAGTAGCCACAATGAGTAAGCCCACAAGCTCTAACCCTAGTAACCACAATCAGTAAGCCCACAAGCTCTAACCCTTAGTAGCCACAATGAGTAAGCCCACAAGCTCTAACCCCTAGTAGCCACAATGAGTAAGCCCACAAGCTCTAACCCCTAGTAGCCACAATGAGTAAGCCCACAAGCTGACCCCTAGTAGCTACAATGAGTAAGCCCACAAGCTCTAACCCCATAGTAGCCACAATGAGTAAGCCCACAAGCTCTAACCTAGTAACCACAATGAGTAAGCCACAAGCTCTAACCCCTAGTAGCCTCAATGAGTAAGCCCACAAGCTCTAACCCCTAGTAGCCACAATGAGTAAGCCCACAAGCTCTAACCCCTAGTAACCACAATGAGCAAGCCCACAAGCTCTAACCCCTAGTAACTACAATGAGTAAGCCCACAAGCTCTAACCCTAGTAGGCACAGTGAGTAAGCCCACAAGCTCTAACCCCTAGTAGCCACAATGAGTAAGCCCACAAGCTCTAACCTAGTAACCACAATGAGTAAGCCCACAAGCTCTAACCCCTAGTAGCCACAATGAGTGAGCCCACAAGCTCTAACCCCTAGTAGCCACAGTGAGTAAGCCCACAAGCTCTAACCCCTAGTAGCCACAATGAGTAAGCCCACAAGCTCTAACCTAGTAACCACAATGAGTAAGCCCACAAGCTCTAACCCCTAGTAGCCACAATGAGTAAGCCCACAAGCTCTAAACCCCTAGTAGCCACAATGAGTAAGCCCACAAGCTCTAACTCCTAGTAGCCACAATGAGTAAGCCCACAAGCTCTAACCCCTAGTAGCCACAGTGAGTAAGCCCACAAGCTCTAATCCCTAGTAGCCACAATGAGTAAGCCCACAACAAGCTCTAACCCCTAGTAGCCACAATGAGTGAGCCCACAAGCTCTAACCCCTAGTAGCCACAATGAGTAAGCCCACAAGCTCTAACCCCTAGTAGCCACAATGAGTAAGCCCACAAGCTCTAACCCCTAGTAGCCACAATGAGTAAGCCCACAAGCTCTAACCCCTAGTAGCCACAATGAGTAAGCCCACAAGCTCTAACCCCAGTAGCTACAATGAGTAAGCCCACAAGCTCTAACCCCTAGTAGCCAACATGAGTAAAAAGAGACTGGAGAGCTTCTTTGAAAAGGGGGAAAGACCCAATGATGACCCCCCCCCCGGTCCGTGAAAGAATTGTCTTCCACGAAACCGGTCCCTGGTACCAAAAAGTTTGGGGACCGCTGGCGTACGCGTTGTCATTGTAATTTTGGTTTATTCAGATTGTGTCGATTACATTGCTGCTATTAATTTCCGCACGGCGATAAGCCACTTTGTTGAGCTATCATTTGTGGCCAGGTCGTTTCTGAAAAGCAAGCTAATAGCTCAGTGAGCTTTACCTGGTAAGATTAAGAGAACATTGTTTTAGTTGTATTTGTATATTTCTCTTAAACGATGTGTTTACCTCTCCTGTACACTGCTCTCCTGTCGCGTTTTGTGTATTGTTAAGAAGAGCTTTGTTATTCATCGGATTCCTCCAGTGTGCATACATATTCTGATTCTGATCGTGGGTACTGTGATTGTGATCTAGACGCGTGACTCCTTGCAGAGATCAGAAAGAGCTACGGGGAAGGAGACTTGCGGCGAGTGACCTGCAGCACATCTCAAAACATCACTCAACATTCCGTGCAAAATGTATCGCGTATGTGGTCGTATCGTCACCTTGCTATTGACACAAACCCAGCGCTCGATGCGAGTATGCGGGTCTTGTGTATCTAAGTCTATGGTTCTCGATGTAAGCCTAAGGGTATCTACGTAAGACTTGCCATCTTTATGCAAGACTATAGTACTTTATTTAAGTATATTGTACTGTATGTAAATATATGGGATTCTATGTAAGCCTATGTGAATCTTATATGAATCGATATAAGCCTATGGGACCCTATGTACTTCTATGGGACCATATGCAGGTCTATGTGACTCTATGTAAGCCTATGGGACCCTATGTAAGTCTATGGAAATCCATGTAAGTCTATGGAACTCCATGTAAGTCCAGCTGGCATGGAAACCCTGCAAACCCACCTCCAGCGAAGCCCCGTGCTTCGATTACCTATTATGTACGTGCGTTGAACTTCTTTCACACCGTACGTAGCCAACCGCGCTAATCGCGAGGTGCGCGTGGAAGGACAACAAACTAAACACACCAAAAGCAGCTCCAAATAAATTACCCGTGGGACACCGGTGCAATTGCACCGCCCGCACACTCCAGATCCGCACCCATCTCCTCCTCCACCTCCTCGTCCTCACCTGGACCAGCCGACGAGGGGTGGAGCCGCGCAGGACAAGGCCATGAACCAGGTGAAGGCCACCCCCATGTAGGCGTGGGTGCTGCCGAAGCGAAAGTTGCCCATGGGTTTGCAGATGACGATGTAGCGCTCAATGGCGAGGACCACGAGCGACCAGAGAGACATCTCGCCTACCCCGCACACAGACAAAGTGTAGCCTTGGACAGACTCTTGGGGCAAGTGCTGTGAACGAGTAGCGCCACCTGGTATTGTGGCCAGGGTGGCACGCGAGGGAGTGGGTGAGTCGTTCATACTTTTGACTCCCGAGTAGCGGCGTTTACGCATTGCTCCAGGGTACTCATTTGAGGCTGAGTTTACCTAGGGGAGGCCCACGACCGGTTTAGATGATCGTCACCGGTGGTGGCCGTGATCGGGAATCGAACTCCGGTCACCGGGTTCGTAGCTAACCGCTCCACTAGCGCCCCCCCATATACACACAATCGTCACAACCTACACACACCCATATACACTCAGTCCCCAGGTACCTCGCGTAAGCCTTTAAGAGCGTTGGAGAAGACGCTGCTCTTGCCAATAGTTGCTCACCATTCTTATAGGGCAAGGTTATCAAGAAGGGAGGCGCTGTGCTTTCCAGACGGGTGCAGTCCGCCAGTTACGCAGCGACGTTTACGTTGCTCCGTGTAATCCCAAGCGGGTAATAATTGGTGGCTCAACATTGAAGGGAGCTTTAGATTTAAAGCTTTCGTGACTGCAGGGATTCATATTCTTGGTTCTTTCGGTAAAGTCACGTAGAAGGGAAACAATAAAATAATAAAATATATATAAAACAATAAAATTCTCACGACGTTTCGACTGCAACACAAGCCACTTTTTTTCAAATTTTCTTGTTGTGGTTTTCACACCTGATGATGATTGCTTGTGTTGCAGTCGAAACGTCGTGAGAATTGTATTGTTTTATATATTTAATTATTTCATTGTTTCCCTTCTACGTGACTTTACCGAACGAACCAAGAATATTCGAAGGAGACCTTTTGGCGTCCATCGTTTTGAAGCAGGCGGCTTGCCGAGTGACTTTACGGTGAACGCAACGGCACCAGCGGTATTGGACCAGTGCGGTAGCGGGCCAGATTCGGACCTCCACCGCTGAGCCACGACACATCGCCCCCCCCCCCCTCAGGGTTGATCCGAACCCTACACCAGAATCATAAATCACAATATTGATTCATTCCTGGCGGAATCCGCTGAGTTACAGAGTCCCGGTACTCGTTCCAGAGCAAAACAAATTCGGTGCCGCCCCAATAAGCGGCGGCGATTACTTTTGAGCACCGGACTGGCGATGAATTTAATGCTGCGAGCAACACGAGCGCATTCCCTCCTTGATGAACAACGCGCGTCCCCGAACGGGTGTCACGCAATTCGGTAGGCGGTGACATTGACGAGACCCCAGGGGTGGCGTTACCGACCGACAAATTGAACGTGGTGTCTGAAAACGCGACGCAAATCGTCGTTCGCACCGTGTCCCTTAACAAGGGTTGTTTTGGAGGGGGGGGGGGGGTGCATGTCATAGGCGACGTTTGGAAGGCAATGGTTCTTCTTCATAACATGGCCCAGAACGTCGTCTGTTAAAGCACATTGCACTGTGAACGAGAGCCATTGCTCGAGACGTCACCGATTTAGTAATTTCATTTGATTATTATTGACGGATGTCCATAATAGAGGGTTTTTTGGGGGGTTAAATCGCGTAAATATATCAATGTATCGTTAAACCCGTCACCACCCGACACAGCCAATTAGTACTGTACTTGTAACGAATTAGTTTTTTTTAGTTTACGTGGCAAACCTTCATAATTGGCTGTGTCGGATGGTTGCAGTTTTAACGACACATATTTATAATCACTCGATCTACCCCCCCCCCCCCCAAATCTGTATTATGGATGATATTGGTCGAGAAAGCCTACGACGTGTTAAATTGACGGATATGTTATTTTGTGTTTGTGCATCGCTGCCAACGCAGCAGCAGCATCCACGTATAACACATATCTGGTGCGGTCTCAAGGTCTTACAAACATAAAGATCCCCCCGTATAGCCTTGACAGACTGTTGGGGCAAGTGCTGTTAGCGAGCACCTATGAAGGTTGGCACTGTGGCACACGATGGGAAGTGTGGCCAGCGCCCACGCCCGGCCGCTTTTGTCTCTCCAGTAGCTATGTTTACGTACCGCACCAGCTACTCATTTAAGGCTGAGTCGACTTAGAGGAGGCCCAGGGACGGTTCAGATAATCGGGACTGGTGTTGGCCTTGAGCGGTAACAACACACCAAACTACAAAGCGAAACTCTTTCTATCTTACCAGGTAAACCCCACTGAGCTATATATTGTTCTTTTTCAGGAGCGACCTGGCAACAAGTGTTAGCTCAACGAAGTGGCTTATCGCGTGGAAATTATTAGCAGCCAAATACTGTAAACGCACGTCGATTATAAATGTGGAGGGGAAAACCCGGAGACATCCCGGATAAAACTCCACGCACGACCTGCTGTATACCTGGCGAGGTATTTAACATCTCACCACCCGCGGCACACACACGCGCACACACACACACTGCCAACAATATTCAACTTTTATGTCCCATTGCGGATCCCGCGTCCTCACCGCCCAGAGTAGCGAAGAAGCCCTCGAAGTTGCACATGGTGGGGCCGAAGACGAAGTAGCCGTTCATGGAGGAGTACATGGTGAGGGTGAAGCCGAAGAGGACCATAAAGAGGTTGGCCACTGCCAGGTTGAGCAGGATGTAGTTGAGCGGCGTCCTCAGCTTCTTGTGTTGCACCGTGACGAACAGCGTGAGGAAGTTGACCGGGAAGCCCACGAGGATGAGGAAAAACATGTAGGCGGCCAGGACCGAGTATTTCCATGGCTCGGCGAGGTAGTACTGGGGGTATTCGAACGGACTGCGGGCAAGGCCCGTCTTGTTCGAGAAGGGAATGTAGAAGTTTTCTCCCTCTGTGCCGTTCATGGTGGCTGATTTGGCGAGGGCTCCGACGCGAACCGCGGCGGGAAATTGGTCGAATGGCACAAAATTTGCGCGAGGTTGCTTTTAACGAGCGCGTGCGCCTAATCGCCGGTTAAATTCGTCTTTTAATACAAGTTGATAATGGGTCGTGGAAAACGGCGGTGGTGGTGGTGGTGTGTTTGTTTGTTTGTTGGTGGCGTGGCTGAGGTTGTGTGGAAGAGTTTTTGGTGGGCCGGTTTACAAATTAAAGTTTGATTCGATATGCCAATAATAGTGATGGTGACGATGATAATTAACGTGGCGTGGCTAAGATTGTTGACTTGACAATTTTATCTCGCCCACTTTTACCAGGTGTGTGTTAGTGCTTGTGAAATAACGGATAGGTGTTTATTTAAATAGGTGCTCGCTAACATAATTGGCTCACAACAGTCTAAAAGAAGGCTGCAAAGTGTCGGTTGGTGGCTGCGTTTATTTACGCGAATTTATGTGTATCACGTACTCGCGATTGGACCGTGTCTTTACGTGTCCATGTACGTGTATGCGTGTTAGCTCACTAAATCAACACCGTTTATGAATCCGAGATAATATCAGCAAGGTCAAACAATGGCCTATGATGTGTATGCTCTTGTTTCGCTATTGAAGTAGTATCGTCATCATTCGCGGTATTATTACTGATCTAACGGTGTCTAAACGGGGGTACGGTGTGCGATAATAAAAAAATCGGCTGCTATTAAAAAAAACTTTTTAAAAAGATTCTGCCACGAGTGTGTAAGCGTATATACGCGTGGCGGTGGTGGCTGTGGTGATGGAGCTGCTCGGGTTGGGTGGCTGAATTATCCGTGTGTGAAGTGACCGCTGCCGAATTTTATAATGACCAGCGTGGTGCTGACCAAGCAGATTGTTCGGGGGACTTTCAGACACCCACACACACCCATGCGCGCGCGAGCCCTAATTAACAATCTGGCTTAAGATAAATGGATTCGAAATGCATTAGAGTGGATTAGAAATGAGAGTTCCCCAAATCGGCCTAATGTGTGCAGGAGTATATTCTTAGTTCTTTCGGTAAAGTCACGTTGAAGGGAAACAATAACATAATAAAATATATTTTGCTTTAAAGCTTTCGTGACTGCAGTAATTCATATTCTTAGTTTTTTCGGTAAAGTCACGTTGAAGAGAAACAACAAAATAACAAAATATGATGACCGTTTGAGTTATGGTCGAAACGTCGTGAGAATTTTTTATTGTTTTATATATATTTTGTTATTTTGTTGTTTCTCTTCAACGTGACTTTACCGAAAAAACTAAGAATAATAAAATATATATAAAACAATTAAAATTCTCACGACGTTTCGACCATAACACAAACGGTCGTCATCAGGTGTGTCGGTTAGCATAAATTAATTTATTTTTAAACGGTTTATATATTTATATATTTTAATTTTTCATTGTTTCCCTTCAACGTGACTTTACCGAAAGAACTAAGAATATGAATTACTGCAGTCACGAAAGCTTTAAATCAAAATTGTGCAGGAGTAGTTTATTGCGCGGGGAGCGGTTGTTGCGATGTTTTAAAAAATTTTAACGCAGCACAGCTGCGAAACCGGCGGGCCCGAGTTCGATTACCCGAGCATGGCCCAGCATCGGTGGCGAATATCTGAACCGGTGCAAGGTGCCATTCAAAAGGTCGATTTCCGCATTTAGTAAACACCTGGTGGAGCGGTGTGTAAACATCACCACTCGGGAGACAAAGACGATCGGGGGTGGTGCTGGCCACCCACCCGCCTCGTTCGCCATGCCGGCCTTCACAGGCGCTTGCTAACAGCACTTGCTCCTGCAGTCTGTTAAAAGGTTATACGGGGGATATTTGTCTTCGTTAAATGCCATTATGTTGTGTGTGGAGTGATTTTGTGTGTGAGGGTCCACGCCAAGAGCTCACGATGGAACCCATGAGAGAGAGAAAAAAAAAGCCGAGCTATGGACCTCTGTAATACACCACCAATGTAAGTCGTCTGCGCTCGTTCAACGCAGGAGGAAGAGCAAAACGACACCAAATTCCAACGCGGAGGCTTTCACGACCAATCTTTCGCGACCACAAATCTGGCTGTCGCCTGATGATGCTCGTTGTAAATGCTGGCGAAACGTCGTACTCGAATTGTAAATGTTGCGAGTTTACTCTCTTACACAACCGGTGTGCTGTACTAGTAACGAATTGGCACGTTTTGTTTACGTGATAAGCCTTACAAATTGGCTGTGTCGGGTGGTGGCAGGCTTTCACGACACATTCATATTTGCGCGATCAAATCGAAAGGAAAAAAAAACCTCTTATGGACAAATTCCAACTTTCGAAGCCCTCTCGTCGTGGCCAGCAAACCTCGAATATTAGCATCTAGCTCCCAAACACATCGCTGCAAACGTGCGCACGGATGTAATTGAACGTTGCCAATTGTGTCTCGACTGCAAAATGCTGCCCGATAGGCGACAACACGTTCGTCAATAGCACTGTTTGGTCTTTAAACAGTTGAGGCGACGTTTTGGACAATGGCCCTCAATCATGGCCCACATTTGTTTTTGGGAAAGATGCCACCAACTTAGAATTCCTGGCTTCCCTTAGCAAGATGGCGACTGAATTTCATAGACCGCCATGCTGGTTAGGTAAACAAAACTTATTTTGGATTTGTTCGATATTGGTCAGGTAAGCGAAACTTACTTTTGTATTTGTGCCTTATTGATCAGGTAAAAACGAAACTTAGTTTTGTATTTTTCCATATTGGTCAGGTTGGCAAAATTTCATTTTACATTTTTTCCTAAGCATGATGCATTTATAGTACGACACAAAATGTGTTCAGTAGTTAACATTAAATATTATACTGGACATATATTGGACTTTTAATCCTTGGTAAGATGATTGCCTATTAACCCTGGTAATATGGCCGCTTTTTACCCTTGGTAAAATGGCCGCATTTTTTAAACCTTGGTAAGATGGCCACCTTTACCCTTGGTAAGATGGCCGCATTTTAACCCTTTGTAAGATGGCGGCCTTTTGAAACTCTTGGGAAGATCACCACATTTTTAAACCTTTGGTAAGATAGCCGCATTTTTAATCCTTTATAAGGTGGCTACATTTTTAAACCCTTGGTAAGATACTCTTTGGTTCTTTCGGTAAAGTCACGTGGGTATAAAATTAATTAAATCACGACGTTTCAATCGCACACAAGCGACCGTCATCAGGTGGAACAGATACAGCAGGAGAACTGCTGACATAGGAGAAAGAGCTGCTGCAACAAGAGTTTATATCCAATTTTGGTGGGCTCAACCCAAGGGTAAGTGGGCGCAGCTAGAGAAGGAATTTGTACGTAAATGTAAATGTGAGAGATTAGCATGTCAATATGGGAAGGTCCCAGCCACCGGAGGTGGAGGGGATCCTGTGCCTGGGCTGCCTCACAGATATTTAGCGTGGTGATGTACTCAGAGAGTCGGAAATGACAGCTGAAACAGGCAGGTAGGATGGAAACATCACAGTTAGTTAAGACTTTATTTGGCTAATAACGTCCTTCCAATGATTGCCTAGTTTGTATCCATCTTCCCGGTTGAAGTTATGTTTATTTATCTGGATGGCTTCATGAACAAACCTTTGATAGTAGCCCGAAGATTTGCAGAGCACCTTGGTCTCGGAAAAAACAATATCATGAGAGCCCACAGCGTTATAGCAATGGTCAGCCACGGCGGAGGTATTAGTTCTGCCGTGTTTCAGATCTGCCTTGTGCTCGCGAACACGGTCCGAGACATGACGTTTCGTTTCCCCAATGTAACAACCACCACAGGTGCAACTTAGTTTGTAGACTCCAGGATATTGCATGTCAGGAATTACATCATTCACAGATGGGATTAGATCACGGATTGTGTGTACTGTACTGAATCGGACCTGGATCTTGTGTTTGTTTAAGATTTTGGAAATCTTTTTGGTAACGCCTGCTATGTATGGTAACGTGATGGTTTTGATCGGCGTCTCAGGGGGTTGTTTCTGCATGGTTGGAGAAACAGCTTTGCGGATAATGCGGTCCGAATATACATTAATCTTAAGGGCCCGGTGTACGTGTTCCAGTTCACTGGCTAGGTGGTGTTGGTCAGAAATGCAGTGGGCCCTATGGTGTAGTGTTTTGATAAGGGAATTTTTCTGTGCCGGATGGTGGCGGGAATCAGGTTTCAGATAGGAATCTGTGTGGGTGGCTTTCCTGTAGACGGAGAGTCCCAAGGAGCCATCAGGTCTCTTCTCAAACAAAACATCCAGGAATGGTAGCTTGCCCATCCTTCTACACTTCCATGGTGAATTTGATGGATGGGTGTATGGAATTAATGTGGTTGAGAAATTGGTTCAATGCTGGCAGGCCATGTGGCCAAATAACGAAAGTGTCATCCACATATCTCTTCCACAAGGAAGGACGTAGGGTGGATGTCTGGATGGCATTCTTTCAAATTTTTCCATGAAAACATGTGGCTGGGGACCATCTCACATTGACATGCTAATTTCTCACATTTACGTTCAAATTCCTTCTCTAGCTCCGCCCACTTACCCTTGGGTTGAGCCCACCAAAATCCGATATAAACTTTTGTTGCAGCAGCAGCTCTTTCTCCTGTCAGCAGTTGTCCTGCTGTGTCTGTTACACCTGATGACGGTCGCTTGTGTTGCGATCGAAACGTCGTGATTTAATTTATTTTATTTTATACCTACGTGACTTTACCGAAAGAGCCAAAGAGTATGGATCCCTGCAGTCACGAAAACTAAAAAACTAACCTTGGTAAGATGGCCGCCTTTTAAAACCCTTGGTAAGATGGTCACCCTCTTTATTCACCCAGCGTGGATTCCACAGGAGGAGAGGCTACAGCAACATATATGGTCACTCCAGCCAGTGCGTGGTATTATATACAGTATATATTATATCTTTATCTCTGTATCGCCTTGCAAAATCAACCCCCACCTCCTTATGGGGTGGTGCCAGATGATAAGAGTGTTGTTTTGAGCTTTGCCAATTGGGGCGAAGGTCTGACATTAAGGCGGCTGTTTTTGCCTTCATTGTGGTCTCACGTCCACCATAATGGCGAACGGCAGCTTCCAGTTGTGCAAAGGGCCCAGTGAACATGAAACGTTGGTCCGGTGGTTTCAGCCAAATGCCAATATTGGTCCAACGTTGCAATGTTCAGTGGCAGCAGGTGGGGGGGGGGGGGGGGGTAGGTAACCCCCGCCACCTCAAACTTAATAAACAAAGGCCCACTGTAGGATAGTCCAATATCTACTGGAGGTTACGAGGGGATGGTGACCGTGACGTCCCCTGGCCAAATCTCATTTGGTGCAGCCAGAGGATTGACCTCACCGAATGGGGGATTCATATTCGTTGGTTCTTTCGGTAAAGTCACATAGATAGAAAAACAATAATAAAAAATAAAGTGAATAAAAAAACACTAATGAAGACTGTAGCATGGTTCTTAATCGGAGTGAGTACACTGGCAATATATAATGTAGACTATAGCCTGGTTCTTAACCTCGGTGAGCGTACTGCCAGTCTATAATATAGACTGTAGCCTGTTTGTTTAACCTCAGTGAGTGTACTGGCAGTCTATAATGTAGACTGTAGCCTGGTTTTTAAGCTGGTGAGCATATTGGCAGTCTGTAATATATACTGTAGTAATGGTTATTAAACTGAGTGGAACGTACTGGCAGTGTATAATGTAGATTTATTATTGGTTCTTTCAGTAATTAAAAAAAAAAACGTTTCGATTACAACACAAGCGGTCATCATCAGGAAAAGGGGGGTTAGCCTCTAAAGGCAAACTGTTTATAAAGGTTTAGAGATGGG